TGTGCCAGGCTGGCTCCAGAGCAGAGGGGTTCCAGCCCTGCAGCATCTCTGTGGCCTCCTCTGGGCTGGCTCCAGCAGCTGCACGTCCTTGTGCTGTTGGAGCCCAGAGATTGGTACAGTGAATTTCCCCTTGTATCCACTTTTATGAAATCTTTTCCAACAGACCAGCCTTGGAGTGGCTGCCAGTCAGGAGCACCAGCACTGAGATGGTGATTTTAGCTCGCAGGGCTGTGTGGCAGGAGTGAGCATGAGGTCCTTGTCTCTCTGTGCCACTCACCACGCAGAAAGGTTGCCTGAAGAATGCTTTTCTTTGCAGACCTTGGGTTTCATAGCTTGAGTCTGCTCTCTTGACATGAGCTGCTGGAGTGGAAGGAGACTGGCTACAGCCAAAACGGCTTCGTAACCCAGACTTTGAACATTGCTTGAGAGCTCTGCTCTCAAAATAAGGCACAAAAATAGAAGCAGGGCCACAAGCCTAGCTATTCCTAATGTGCACAAAAGGATGGGAGAGTGCCAGGAGCCAGCCTGTGCTGCCTCTGCCCTGCCTTCAGCCTGGCTTGTTCTCTCCTACCTCCCCTGACTGCCTTTTCACAGCCGTGAAAAGGAGAGACATACCCCCAAAAGAGCAAAGTGTGTTTGTTATTGACCCTCGCCTGGAAAGTGTATGAAGAGGGATCAGCTCTGTTTGTTTGTAGCCGGTAATGATGTCAGGAAAAGCGATTTTTTTTTTCCCAAGTCTGTTTTTATCCCCTTTGTTGGAAGTGCCTTTGGTGAGTCTCACACCCTGGTGCTGTTAGCAAAACAATTAGGTTAACAGTGCCTTGGCTCCAACTGTCTGTCAAAGGCTGAATTGCAATGCAAATTAACTCGGCTTCAGCTCTTCAAAGCCAGCTGGGTTCAGGAAAGGTCCCCAGAAACCCCCGTGAGAATGGAGGTCTGGGGCTGGGGAGGGTGGGCTCGGCGGGATTTTACATCCAGGACCTAATGTGTTGCAATACGTTGTGCAAACACATTATACAAATGCAATACGTTTTATAAATCCTTTCGGTACTCAAAAGGGACTTAGAAGAGACACTTTCTAGTAGGGCCCGAAGTGACAGGACAAGGGATGATGGTTTTAAGCTAAATTAGGGGAGATTCAGGCTGTGTAGAAGGAAAAAAATCCTTGTCTGTGAGGATGGTGAGGCCCTGGCACAGGGTGCCCAGAGCAGCTGTGGCTGCCCCTGGATCCCGGGAAGTGTCCAAGGCCAGGTTGGACAGGGCTGGAGCAACCTGGGCTGGTGGAAGGTGTCCCTGCCCTGACAGATGAGGTGGAACGAAATGAGCTTTAAGGTCCCTTCCAGTCTAAACAATTCCTGAATTCTATGACTCAAACATATTTTATTTCTCCTCAGGGATTAACAGTGTCCTTCATGCATTTCAGGACAGGTTTCTGGCCCAGGGTGACATTTAAGCAATACATCCAGAACAGGGCAGGCTGTGGGTATCACCCTGCTTTCCAGTGTCCCCTCAGCCCAGGTCCCATTCCCATAATTATCAGATTCATTATGCTTATTTCTGTATTTTCCATATGGCCACATACATATGGTCTGTTTAAACAAGTTTGCAGGGTTAATTGGAAAGCAGCTCTTTATCAGCTATTTAATATTTAGCACTTCTGGGGCAATTTTCACCTGCAGAGATTACAAAACCAGGCAAGTGCTGATCGTCCAGCTGTACCTGTGGGAAACAAGAGGTGCCAAAGCTCGTGTCCCTACTCACAGGAAAGGCAGGTGCCCAAGGTCACCTGGAAAACCTATGGCAGGTTAAAAAAATTATATTAACTCCTGGACCCCATTCCTGTCCTCCACCTCTTCACAGCATACACCACACTCTGCTTTATGTTGCTTCCGTCATGACAATAAAGTAATTGTAGCTGTCAGTGCTGAGGCAAGTGGAGCTACAAAGGGGGAAATAAAAATGTATCATATCCATCACAGGGTAAATAGACGGAGGTTCTCAGAGGAAGCGAGGAAATCAGCCTCGGTGTATGTGAGGTCACTCCAGAGGCTGTAGGACGTGTTGAGCTAAAAAAAAACTACCCAAATTCCGTTTTGCAGGGACAGAAGGTATCATTTTAAAAGCGGTGGGACTTTTTTGCACGTGCAGAACCAAATGCTGATGCTGTTCTGATTTGGCCCCTGCTGTCACCCAAAGCCCGTGCCCTGGGCTCCCCTCCTGCTTTTTATTTGGAGGTGAAGCAAGGAGTCAGCTGCCCTCCTCAGACTCCAGCTTTGTGATGAGGCTTCCTAAATTATTCTTTCTGATGCCAACAAATAACGTTCTTCCCTTCCCCAGTGTTTTTTCTGTTTATCTGGATTTTGAGCAGATTTTGTACCTGGCTAGGTATAGTCTGGTTAGCATTTAATAAGCCTGCCCCCAAATCTAGCCACTTTCTGACTAATTTACCTCCAGCTTCTGCAAATGCCGGGCCTGTTTGTAGCATCCCTGACAGGCTCATGTGAATACATGCACAACTGGGCACTTAAATTATCCCTGCCCTCCTGCCTACCCCGAATTCAGGCATCCAGGACGAGCACCCCGGGGATGCCCTGCCTGTTAGTTTTACGTGTTCTCTGTCTGGTGTCACGTTTAGTTGGGTCCCTTCGTTTTGGGTTTGGCTCTGGATTTGAGCTGGTCTCGCTTGTAGCAGCCATGATTTAAGAGTCCTGGCTCCTACTTCCGACGCGATAACTGCCTCGGAGAGTGACCTTAAAGCAACTCATCCGCCCGCAGTTATTCTGTGAAAAAGGAGCTGCTCCTCCGTGGGAGTGCGTGCAGGACGGGGACCCCTGGGGAGTTCTGCTGCCCTGCCAAGCCTGGCGCTAGGAAGTCTGGCCGGACTTCCCAGCCCGGCCGCAGAGCTCACCAAGGCTGGACGAGAGCGCAGCCTCTTGGTGGCTCGGTTTTCCTCACCCTCTGCAGGTCCAGAGCCGGAATGGGGGAATCTGTGGAGCGCCCAGGGTGCCAGGGGTTGCTGCCGCTAGTAATACCCGTAACGAGAATACCGGAGTGCTACGTGCCCGTAATTTCTGCTTCGTGTTTGGAATCGGAGGGTACCGAGCCTCCGTGGTGTATTTTCCTGTCCTTTGGTGACAGGTGCTGTGAAAGCACAAATTATTATTATTATTAATATTATTATTATCATCATCATTGCTATTGCTTTTTGTGATGTGCCCTCCTTCGACACGCAGAGCCGTGTACCGGTTTTTGAATTTTGACGCTGATTTGGGTTAATATTCCCATATTTACAGAGAGCACCGGCACAGCCCAGCCCCGGGAGGAGCTCCCCACCCGGTGCCCCGCGGGGTGCGGGGGTGGGGGCACCCCATTCTCCCCGCACCCCCCACCCAGCAGCAGGTACGGAGGGAGACACCGAGATGGAGCGGGGGTGGTGGGGGGGGTGTGGAGGTTGGGGAAGGGACACACGCACACACACGGACCCACAACCTCCCGGCAACCCGAGCCGCCTCTTGCGCAAGGCGGTTGGAGATAAATATAATATATAGATATATTTATTTTTTTTTTTTTTCCCCCGGAGCGACACGGTGTCTAGACGCCCACGTGACGGGGCCGGGGCCGGGCCGGGCCGGGCCGCTGCGCACTGCGAAGCCGCCGCCGGTGCGGGGGGGGCCGGGGGAGGGCGCAGGCACCGCGCCGGCTCCGGCTCCGGCTCCGCTCCCGCCGCGCCCCGCGCCGCCGCCGCCGCTCCCCCCGCACGCACCCGGGGGAAGGCGGAGGTGCGGGGAGGGCGGCTGACTGCGGAGAGCGGGGAGGGAGGGAGAGAGAGAGGAGAAGGGGGGGGAGGAAAGGGGGAGGAAAGGAAAAAAAAAAAAAAAACAACCCACCCCACGAAAGGAGGAGGAGAAGTAGGAGGAGGAGGAGGAGGGGAAGGAAGGCAGGAAGGAGGAGTGAAGAGCAAAAAAAAGGCACCGCGGCAGAGGCGCCGGCAGCAGGGAGAGGGTCGGCGGCCGGCGGGCACCCCCGCACCCATGTAAGCTCCGCCGGGAGCGGCGGGCCCGGCTCGGCCCGGCGCGGCTGCTGGGGAAGGCAGGAAGGAAGGGACATAGCCCC